AATAAAGAAATGAATATAAAACAATTATAATGTAATATTTAAATAAAGAATGAATAATAGAAATATGTCATGAAAATCAAATAAAAAAGAAGAAAAAATATAAATTAAATATATCAAATGTATTGATTCATTTTATCATTTGTTAAACACTCAAAATTTAATTAGATTTGAAATAATTGAAATTTATTATCATTGAAATAAAATATTTCTTTGTATTTAATTATCAAAAATAATTAATTAATTACAAATTATTCTGAAATATTAAATTTGATTCTTATCTGTCTTTTTATTTAAATTCTTTTGAAACTAACTCTTTCTGTTTATTTCTTCTCTTTTGCTTTCTGTTTTTATGTCTTCTTCTATTATACTTCTCTCTTAAACTCTTTAAATTTATCTTTTTCTCTTCTTTGTCTTTTCTCTATTTCTTATCTTTTCCTTCTTCTTTCCTTATTCATCATTTTTATCATTCAGTTTATTCTTCTTTTTATATTTAATCATTCTCTCTTTTCTTCTTTTTGTTCTCTTCACTTATCTTCACATATACAAATCATCAATTCTCGGTAATACTACTCTTCTTTCTATCTCTTCTTTATCTTTTTTGACTGGAGGAAGAACAGAGAAAGAAAGTTGTGGAATGACATTGGTGAGGGTAGTTAACGAAGGTAAAGATGGAGAATTACAAACTTTAGAGATTTCAGGTGTTGATTTTGCAGGGACAATACACTGAAGATTAACTTTACGAGTTGGAGGAATGAAATCAAGAGAATATCTAATATTATAAAGTCCAATTGTTGCACTTGCATAAATCACACGATCAAGGCGTTGAGCGTTTTCGATCAGAGACTGACAGACCCATTGAGGTTGTCCAAAGGCTAATACTTGAAAGACATTGACTCTTCTAGTTGTACAATTTTTTTTATGCCTTTTACACTCACCCCATCTTAAAACAAGAAAAGAACCTTGTGATGGAATGTTAGCAACAATTCCATTAGCACAAGTCATTTGAGCTAAAGTAGCACGAACAACAACAGTTCTTCTAACAAACTTATTTTCTTTCCACTGAATTTTTTGATTAGCAAAGATTTCCATTACAAGAAATAAAGTAATTAATAAATTAAGTTTGCAGTTTTGTTTAAATCTTAAAGGGTTTTTAATCTACTTTTCAAGTGGAATTTTTTTTGATTTTTGGTTTAGAGTTTGATTATTGCAAGGTTTTTTTCGTTTGTTTTTATTTAGCTGTTTTAGTTACTGAAATTAAAATTATAGCAGTAACCCTATATTTTTCAATTCTCTTCTTTTCAACAACCTTCGAAAAGACTCAATAAATATTTAAAATAATGTGAATTATTTTTAATATTTCTATTTTTAGTGATCGAATACAAAAAAATTCCCCTCATCGCTCATAATTTTCGAGTATATAACTCAGTGTATATTTTAGTTTGGTTTTTGGTTAATATATTTATAGTTCTTTGAGGTTTCTGGGTAACTTTCTAATGACGTATATTTTTGATTTTATTGAAGATAATTGATTTTTAATTTGAGAGTTTATTTCAAATCCACTGAATTACAGAAAAACTGTTAACTTTGATTTTATTTAAGTCTGATGCAAATACATATGGTCCTTTTCCTGTAAAATCAATAAAATGAACATGGAATTTATTGTTAATTGTCATAATTGATGTGTCAATATTATATGTACAAAATCCTAACACTTCATAACTATGACTAATTAGTCTACTTGAAGAGTATCTATAGCACCGAAAAAGTGAAGGTGTTTGTAATTTTTTACTTCTTAAACAGAAAATAGATAAATCAAAATCTCTATTCCATTTTTCTCCTGTTTCTATATGATGATTTACCCCAAAAACACCTTCATCTGTTTCAAAAATAATTGAAATATCTTTGTTTTGGAATGCATGTTGAATTGAAGATATCCCTTCATAATAAGAAATACCATCAAATATAACTTGAAAATAATGTTTTCCCATTAGTTTAGATAAATCATCCATATATTCTGAAATTAATGTCATTTCTTTAATAGCTGTTGGTTGTATTACTGGTGACATATCAGTAAAATGAGTAACTGTAGTACCAATATCACAACAACTAAGAGTTATTTCATTCTTTTTTGAGCATTCATGATTTAATTTAATTTCTGAATGTGGATGAATTAAAAATGGTTCTGTGAATAAACTTTCAGATTGTTTAGGAATTGTAGATAAATCACTAATATCACTTAATTGTTCTTTTGAAATTGTTTTTTTGGAATTAAACCTCTTTTCAGGGTTCTGAAGGTTTATACTTTTTGAAATTATTTTTGATCGAAAATCATGTTGTAACTCATTTTTCTTTTGATTTGAATGAGTTTTTTTTGGTGCCTTTTCATCTTCTTGATGATTATCAGGTTTTCTTGATTGACTTCTAATTGGAATGGTTGACAATTCAAGTGTTTTATCTGATAATGGGATGTTAACATATCTAAGAATTGGAAGTGAGTCTTGAGTCTCAACGCCTTTGTTGGTTTCTGTTTCTCCTAGTTTACTTAGAGATGAGTGTGTCTCAAAATTTCCTGATGTTTTCGGGTATGAAGGGTCAACCAAGTTTAAGTTTACAACACCATAATTATTTATTGCTTCTATAGTGATTTGTTTGTGTTGTTCAGGTTTCATTAACACAATATCAATGATTAAATCTTTATAATGATTTCTTATAAGTTTTTTCTCTTTTCTTTTATTTTTTTAAATATTAAAAAAAAAGACTAAAGAGACTTGAAAAAATAGATTAAAATTTATTTTTTATCTCCTTCTTTTTTTTCTTGTTCCTTCGACAATTTCATAGCACATTTCTCAAGTGAGTTATACCAATCAAGGGTAGAAGATGAAGTTGCAGTATTAACTAACCAAGATGGAACATATCCATTAATATTAGATTGTGTGATAGTATCATAACTAGTATAATATTTTCCATCTGGATTCTTAAATTCTCTGAAAATAGTTGCACAAAATAATGTTGTAGCACGAGTGAATTCTTTACTATTAGCAGGATAGTCTGGATGTTCTGCGGAAATATCAATAACAACACGTGCATCAACTTGATTTTCTTTCTTTTTATCAATTCCTTCTGGACCTCTGATTCTTCTGAAGTGAACAAAGTCTCTTCTTCCAACAACTAAACCAACAGTTTTAGTTGTAATGTGGTGCATTGTGTAACCATCTCCAAAGTCTTCAATTTGTTTCATTCCATCAACTAATACTTCCCAAGAAACTCTGTTTTCTGGAACTAATAATGCATCAATAACACATTGCATTCTAGCAGGAATTAAAGCATTAATTTTCATTTTCTTAATTCCAGTTGCACGATCATCTTTGTACCATAATTTGGCATTATCTTTTGATTTACAAGGGTTCCAATCACCTTTTTCAGCAAGTTCTTTAAAGAACTCTTGTTCTTCTTCATCAATTTTCTTCTTCATTGCTTCGAATTGTTCAGGACTAATTTTAGATGTAGCCATTATTGATTGATAAATGTATTTGATTTTAGAGTTTTGTTTCTGCCTTTTTCAATCAAAAGTTCTTCCTGCCTTTTCACTTCAATTTTACTTTTTTCTAATTTTTCAGTTATTTGAATGCTTTATAAAACATAATAATTCTTTTGAAGCAAGATTTTTTTCAGAACAACTTATAAAATAAAAGAAAAACACCATGAAACAACTTACAAAAAGAGGTTAATAATCGAAGCTTTTAATGGCTTTAAAAATTAATTTCTTAATTATGGGTTGTAGAAATTCTTTAATTATTTTATCAAGAAACAGCGTTGTTTTACAATTCTTTGAAGAAGAAATATTAATAGAAGACTATCTTTTCAGAGAATTAATAAAATTCTTTTAATACAATAACAAAGTCTGTAAATTTTAATGGACTTAAAAAGTACTAGTTTAGCTATGAAATATTTTTAATATTTTCTTTTATTTTGGAATATTGGCATTGAGAAAAGATATAAAGTTATTCTCATTTTTAAAATAACTTTAAGACAATAAATTTTAAATATATTTTGAATGAATGTCTTCTTATTCTTTATATTTGTATTTTATATATTTACTATTATAAATTATTGTATCTAACTTTTAAGAGTTTATTTTCATATCATTAAAGAAGTTTTCATATATATTTATTTAACTTATTAGTTATTTTTAAGGTAATTCTTTTTTTCAACTATCGGTTCATATATACTAATTGAAAAATGTATAAAGAATTCAATAACATACTTGTTGTTAATTATTTATTTATTCTATGATATAGTTTAATGTTTTTGGTTATTTTAAAACATCTTTAAATATTATTTTTTTATTAAATATTCATTTTGAATAAGTAGAATCTAATGTAGTTCCGATTTATTTAATTTTTATAAAAAATAACAGTTAAGTTTATTCTACTTAACATCTCTTATTACCAAATTGGGTAATTTGTATGACTCTTTTATAGAAAGAGGTAATTAACAAATGAGCAATTTTTAAATCAATGAAATTAACTTTTTGATATAAGAAACAGAACATAGTATAATAATCAAGCTTATTATTCTAAGACTTACTGTAATTCATTATCATATATTTTTCTTCTTCTATTTCTCAGAAAAAGAATTGACAGAATTATTGTTTTAATTCCATTTTATTAATAAACTCACTAAATATAAATGATATATTCACTTCATGAAAAATTCTAAATATTATTTAAAAAAGTTGAAATTATTTATAGAATAATTCCAAAACAAAAATCTAGAAAAATTAACTTTATTTAAATAAAAATACACTTCAGTTTATTAAAATAAGTAACAAATTTGATAATTCTTTTGATCTCAATATAGTTTCAATAAAGATCATTTCTAAAATATCTTTGAAATGAAAGATATTAAGACTTAATTATTAAATTATTAAATAATTATAATAAAAAATATTATATTATATAGAATTTAATGGTGAAAGAATATAATTTAAAAAATTAAAGTCAATTCAAGTCATAGAGAAGCATAAACTCTTGAAATGAAATTTTACCATCACCATCTTCATCTATAGAATCCATTAATGCATCAATTTCTCCTTTTTTAAGATGAACTCCAGTTTTTTTTAAGAAAGCAGTTAACTCTTTCTTATTAACTTTTCCACTATTATTACTATCAACCAATCTGAAAGCAACAGTTCCAATAATGACATCAGTTTTTTTAGTTTCAGTTGGAAGTAAACTACAAATATTTTTAAATTCTCTTAATGTAATTTTGTTGTCTTTTGAATTAAATAACCCCTTCCCATCAGCTAAAAGAAAGATATCATTAAATATTTCTCTATATGACTCTTTTTTATCATCAGTAATATGGTAAAACTCAATGAGCCCTTCGCAAAATTCATCAGGAGAAAGGTATCCCGATTTGTCTTTATCAAGGAGATTAAAAATAAATTCTATTTGAGTATTGTTCATTAACTAAGCACTTTATATTTTTAAGTTCTTATTTTTTAGTTCAACATAAAAGTATTTAACAATTCAGTTTTTTAATTAAACTCGTCCTGAATTTACTGAAATAAAAACAATAAAATAGAAATATTCTAGTAAATAATTTTATGAGATTTGTTAGACTAAATCTTGTTTTATTCAGTATATATTTACTTTGTTAATAAAGAAGTGCTACAGTCTGAACAAAAAAAAATAAACCAATCTAATTTTCAAATAAAAAGAAGAGATAATAATTAAATGTCTTAGAATTTTAAAGTCTTTTGTTTATAAATAAATGTAATTACTTTAATTAACTAATTTAAATATTTCATGAACAACTTATATAAAAACACCATCTTATAAACATGCCAATGTTGAATATAATTTCTACTTTTTTTGTTATAGTATCAAAGAATAGAGTGAAAGTGTTGAATAATGTTTACCATTTGTTATAGTCATGACTCATTGGTTGAAACAGTTTTTTTAAAAAGAATTTCTAAAAAAAAAATCATTAAAAAATAAATAAAATAAAACTAAAAAACAAATAAAAGCATTTCTTGAGATGAAAGTCATTTTCTTAGTCTTGTTAGGAATTATTCAATATTCTTATTCTAATGAATGTACATGTACTGTATCAACTACAAACATGTTTGTTGGTGAGTGTAAAAATAATGATGGAAACTTTGTTGCTAATAGTCCTGAGTGTATTTTTATTATAAATGAAGAAATTAATGGAAATATACTTTTAGAAAGTGTTAATAAATTAATTGTCAATTCAAAAAACACTTTTGAAACACAAAATAATATTATTACAGAGATTAAAGTTACTAGTGATGTCATTTTTAATAATGATGGAAAATTATCAGATAATCAACTTATTATTGAAAAACTTAATGCAACAAATGAAAATAAAATAACATTTGGGGTAAATACAATAATTAAATCAAGTAATGGAAACCCTAATATAATCATAACATCAGAAGCAAACATTAAATATAATGGAAATATAAATCAATTAGATATTGATGGAAATTTAGTTATGGAACAAGGAAGTATTAATGATATAAATGTTAGTGGAAGGTCAGAGGTATTATTACCAGAAAAAATTAAAATCAATTCTATTACTCTTGAAACAGCTAATTTTCATTTATTAGTTCCTTCAACAGATGACTTTCAAATTGGTAAATTTATTATTAAAATGAATAAAGGGCTTATCTCTAGTATTCCTTTAATTCATTCAGAAAATATTATCGCAGAAAAGTTTATTGATTCTCTTGTTGTTCAAGATGTCACAGGAACTAAGTTAACAGGAAAACTTAAAATTGAATGTGCTCGATATGAAGTATTTTATGTTTCACAAGAAACAACAGACGTTGCTTGTCAACCAATAACTTGTATATTTAAAGATAATCAATTTAATATTGAAAGATGTCCATTTGAAGAAAAACAAGATGGAGATTCTGTTATTCCAACAATACTTTTATTGAAGTCTGCTTTATGGAAAGAAGAATGGAATTCAAAAAAATTAACTAGTTTAATAATTGATATTAATAATGATAACTCATTAGATTTTGGAAGAAATACCATTAAATGCAGTAATTTAATTATTAAATCAGGAAAGATTTCTATTCAAGACATTTCATTAGAAAATGTTATTGTAGAGTCACAGGCTTCACTTAAATTAGTAAACACACATGTCCAAAGTTTAATGTCTGAAGACTCAACGCTTGAACTAAAGTCAGTTTATATAGAAGGATATTCAGAATTTAAAAATACAAAAATGTCTATTGAAAATTCATTATATTATGCTGGTTCAAATAAAAGTCTATTTAAGAGCATTTTTAATGGAGTTGAATTAAGTTTGACGGATGGTCACATTTATACGAAAACACCAATTGAAATAATTGTTGAAGAATTATCGATTATTTCACAAAATTATCCAATCTTTATTGATGAAAGTCAAAGCAAATTCTTCTTTGATGATTTTGTTTCAGTACTTGGTGTTGACAATGATGGAATAGATGCATGTTTTCAGTTAGTAAGTAGTATGGGACAAAATTTGATTACTGTAAATGAAAATAGTAATGTGGTTATTGACTTAAATAAAGTTAGTGCATTCTTTTGTATAGAAAACGTACAGGAACCAACCTCTTATCTTAATTGTAAAATTCCAAAACAACCAAATGGAAAATATAATATGGGACTTTTAGTGAATTTACCAGATCATTGTAAAAGTGTCAGTCCTTCAGCACTAAATTTTATATTTGAAGATGACATTATTGAATTAAATACTAATAATGTTCAGTCTATTGGACAAGTTCATGCACGTTCATTGGTTATTGTTAATTCTGAAGTTCAAAATGAAGGAGAACTTACAACAATCAATAAAGTTGAAGTTGAAAAATTAACTATTTCATCTCATACTAATATTTTAGAATTGTCTTTAAGAACTTCTTCATTAGTTAGAGTAACTTCTTTATTATCTCTTGGTATATTAAACGTTGATGGAATTAAAAATGGTTTCTTTGCTATTACATCTACTGGTTCATTAGAAATAATAGGAAATTTATTTTCTAATGCTAAAGTGATTATTGAGAATGGGGGCAGTTTTTATTCATACAACCCTGAAGAATATCTTGAAATAAATAATTGTGAATTTGAAATTCATCCACAAGGTGTTTTTAAGACAAACTTATTCAGTAAAATCATTGACTCTAACATCTATTTGAATCTTATTAATGAACATGCTCTTACATTTACTAAAGTTATTTTTGATGGTGTTAATATTGAATTAAGAACAACGAATCTAGTAGAATTCAATACACAAAGAAAGTCTCAACAATATGTTGCTTTTGCCAAAGGTGGAATAGAATTAATTAATACTAATATTGAATTAGTTAGTGGAACTAAGAGAACAAATTTAAAAAGTTCGATTGAGTGTAATAAACAATGGTTATTTATTAATAGGAAGAATACCAAATGTTTGTCTGATGGATTAAATATTAGAGGAAGGGAAACATTTGCAATTCCTGAACATTGGAAAAAACAAAAGAAATCAATGAAATGGATTTATAGTATTATAGTCATTCCAGTTATCATTGCTATTGGATATATCCTTTATGTATTCATTCGACAATCAAACAACACACAACATTCCAATCTCATGGATGATTAATAATTGAATTTTTAATAAGTTCAAAAATAAAAAAACATCTTGTTTTTTTTTAGACATTTTCAATTATTCTAAAATTAAACAACCTACTGTATCATTTGATGTATCTAATGGGGGTTCAGCTATTGGTTGGTCATTAGAAATTATGTTCTCAAGATTATAACGCTTAACAAATGATTTGTTTGTGATTGGATTTATTGGAATTGGGTCAATAGCATTCAAATGAATGAGAGAAGCTAACCTATGATTTTGAGAAGAGCAAGAAGTGATTAAATCAAGACTTGATTTCATCCCACTCATTTGATATGATGATGGTTCAAAGGGAATATGAGATAAAAGTGCATGGTAATTAGCTAACTCTATTATTAAAGAATAAATAGCAAATATATCTTTAATACATAATAACACCATTTGATGTAATATCATATTCGATGTTTTTTTACTGAAGAAATCTAAAATAACAGATTTATAAGAATGGAAAATATTAACAAGGTTTTCAAGAATAACTGAGATAGAATAAGTATTTTGTTGTAACGAAGGAAGAGTTATTCCATTTGGAAGACTAAATTTTCCAGTAAAGAAAGGATATTTTCGATGAAATAACAATGACTTTTGAAGGGGTAATAAATAATGAAAAACCCAATATGAATATTTTGATGTATCAAAGTCTGTGATATCTTTAATTTTCTTTATTGGGCGTGTGTTTAAATCTGCGATTTGTGTAAAAATATTAGAAGAACCTTCTCTTGATAGAATATGATAAAGAATTAATGTTTTTAAAATCTCAGTATAACAACCATACTGTAATTTATTTTTTATTCTTACTGATATTATACGAATGTCTTTGTTAAAAGTGTGCTTTATAATATAATGAATATACTTTTGATTAGCTAAAGAAATATCCATATTTGTTGTTTCAGAGAGGGCAATATTTAATTTAATATTAAAACTAAATTCCATTGAATGGTCATTGAACAGTTTACTCGTTTTAAATTAATAGTGGATATCTCTTTCTAACAAGTGAGTAGATTAATGATATGATACTATCATCTCTTTCTAGACAATGAGATTGTTAAAACAAAATGTTTAATAATATATTTATTAGTTAAGAATAGTTTTGAGTAAAGAGGTTAATAACAGAAAAAAATAATTACAAATGAGAGGATTTAATGAATTTGTTAATTTATTAGTTAATACTCACTCAAGTTGTTTTGTAACGTTTAAATGAAAATGAAAGAGAGTTATTGCCATAAATAAAGGTGTTAATGAAAGTAAACTACCTCTTAGCAAATATGAAAAATAATATGTTTATTTAAGAGTTTGATAGTAAGAAAATCATTCTATTTTTATATTCCTTTAAACAAATAAATACTAAACTGTAAGTCTATAATTTAAATTGAAGATGTTTTAGTCATACTGAATTAGAGGACCACCAAGTGAAGATAATTCATTTTCATCATATTCTTTTAACATCTGTCGTCCTTTATATGTTCTATATTTAATAATTCCAACAACAATAGCAATTATGGCAATAATAATAATTAATACACCAAGAACACTTGGAACAACAATAGCAATAATTTTTGATGTTTCTTTTTCTGTTGGATATTCCTTTTTAATCTGGTCTTTTGGTAAACGATATATAGGGAAAATAGCGTCATCTGGTCCTAAAGAGGCTAATTGTTCAGCACTAAATTTACAGAATGTATACGTATTTGTAAAATCAAAAACCAAATTATTTTCATCAGAGTGTGTCAACAAACAATTGAGATACAGTGGCTCCATGAAATAGTTATCAGTCTTACCATCAAAATGA